AAAAAAAAAACCCCAACCTTTCACCTGACATTGGGGTGGGGTGGGAGGGAGTGGGGAGGAAGGGGCTGTAAATCCAAAAGATTTTCTCAGTTGCTAAAATTGCTGCTCAATTGCTTTTTGCAGAGTGCATATTAAACCAATGGCATATCGCAGTTTTTTCTTGCTACAACTCAAATAATACATGCCATTTAAAAAAGAATTAATCCCAGGGGTCACACAAGACTCTCCTTCAAATGCCCATTACTTCACACTAAATACCTCCAATTTCCTTTTGAGTTATTATATTTGTAGACCTACAGATGCACATCAGCAATTTTTTTAGTATTTTTTTAGTATCTTCCCTGCCATGAAAGGCAGGAGGTTAAAATCCATCATGATTTTTTCACAAGTCCTGCAAGCGTTTACATATCTAAAAGCTATGGCTGATGTCTGCTTTTTCATCAGATTTAAATGCAAGCGATTGCACTAGTTCATGATTGAGTAGGTAACTCTGTAAATATGTATCTCTTCTCTCCATGAGCTAACACACTGGGCACAACAGGGATCCTTGTTGCAAAGCAGCAAGGACCAAATGATGTTTGAAAATGCTCTCATTTAATTCTACCACTTTCATCCACTTAGCAATGTAGTATCAGAGCTTGGACTCAGCAGTCCAGCAACTTACAATCCCGGAGGGAAAAATTCTTATGAAGTTACTAGTGGCTGGCTGGTAAATTATTTGAAATCACTAGGGTCCCATTCATCTAGAATGGCTTCAAAAGAAGAATGATGGAGCCCTGGACCTGGACATTCCTTTTTCCCCCCATGGAGTCAGCTGTCTAATAAAAGTAAATGATTCTTGTGAAGTATTAAAGAAAAGAAGTTGTGAAGTACCTTCTTAAAATGTTGTTTATAAGATTGTTTTCAGATTTTAGTCATTACTATAGCAAAAAAAGGCCTGCTGTGGTGATTATCATTTAAAATATCTGAGGGGCTGCCTGTGGTCTCCTTGTGCCAGAGGTATCTTTCATTTGCCAAGGACATATTGAGGACTCAATTTACAAGGAAAAAAACATTTATGGAATAGGACGCTCTCTTGCTGTTACTAAATAGCAGGCCCATTAATATCTCTTTGCTGGGTTTCAGTTCAGAGGTTGTTTGCCCCATGATGTATCACAGAGTATTTTAAAACTGAAATTACCCACAGAAAAAGATCAAACAAGAAGCACATCTGACTTTCTATCCTATAACCATTTCAGTTCAGAACATAAGTTCTAGGTGCTTATATGATAAGCTCCCTTATGACAAATTGTTTTTCTCAGAAGAAAATTGGGACACTTCTGCTTAGAAGTTGGTTAAAGGAAATTGTTTTCATTAATTTGTAAAAACTCAAGTAAATTTCAGAAATCCGTCTGGTGAGCAATATTGCCATGTTAGAACTGTGAAAACTGATACTACTATTGCTTACTAATTTTGGTTGCCACA